AGCGCAGAACCCAGTGCAGGGCCTGAACTCACATACAGTGCAATCATGACCTGAGCCAAAGTCGGAAGCTTAATCGACTGAGCCTCCCAAGTGCCCCATGAATGAATTACGAAGTATCCTTGTTTATCCTTAAGTTTATACTATGTGCTGTGTGGTTTTTAGAGAAGGTGCTTGCTGTTTCTGCTGAAATCACATGGTCACCCATCTGCCCATGGCCCCAGTTCAAGGGTGTATGATTCTGCCAGTCCCTCTCTGAGGGTTGTGGCTTTGTGATGAAAGGAGCAGTCTGGATCTGCCTCCAGATGCAGACACTCGGCCCTCACTCTGACATCTTTCACAATTGAATTTTCTTCACCACCAGCCAAAAATTCTTGAAACCAGTAAGGGCCACCATCCAAGGGATTATGTTGCAGACAAAGTTCACTAGCTGCCAGGCTTCGCTGCTCCTGAGGATATCCTTTGTTACTTATGTTTATTCCAAATGATAAACAGATCTCTGGCTATGTACATGGCTATATTATTATTGCCTTCTCTCCCCTTTTGGAAAACGAATAAAGCCAATGCTCAGTGGGGTTTTTGTGGTGTTATAAAAACTGAATTTATGGAGCATAGTTCCTTTCCCCATTCACAGTGTTTGTGACTATACTCAGGTGAGCCTTGGAGCACAGAGTAGTAAGCACCAGGAATCTGTCTTCCTACCCAGACAAGACTTACATTAACAACAACAAAAAAAGGCAACGAGCGGAATGGGAGAACATATTTCCAAATCATACCTAACAAGAGATTAGTATTCAGAATATATAGGGAACAACTAAAACTCAACATTAAAAGAATAAAGAACACAATTCAAAAATTGGCAAAGAACTTGAAGATATTTCTCCAAAGAAGATATATAAACGGACACTAAACCTAAGAAAAGATGTTTAACATCACTGATCATTAGGGAAACGCACACATCAAAACTAAAATGAGATAGTATTTCACACCCAATAGGATGGCTACTATCAAAAAAAAAAAAAAAAAGAGAGAGAGAGAGAAAATAGCAAGTGTTGGTGAGCATATGAAAAAATTAAAACTCTTGTGCCCAGTTGGTGGGAGGCGAAATGCTATAGTCAGTATGGAAGATAAGGGCAGTTTCTCAAGGAATTAAAACATAAAATTACCATGTGAGCCAGCAAAACCTTATCTGGGTATATATCCAAAAGAATTGAAAGCAGGGTCTTGAAGAGTTATTTGGACACCCACGTTTATGTAAGTGTTCTTCAAAAGAGCTAAAATGTGGAAGCAAACCAAGTGTCCATTGACCTAAGAAAGGATAAGTGAAATGTGGTTTATGCATATGATGGAATATTATTCAGCCTTAAAAAGGAAGAAAATTCTGAAATATGTACAGCATGGATGAATCTTGAGGAAAGAACCTTGATATGACTGCCACAGACTGAGGGACATTGGGTTGGGGAGTTAGTTCTCAATGGGTACAGAGTTCCAGATTTACAAGATGGATGATGAGGATGGATGATGTAATGGCTGTACAACAATATGAATGTAGTTAAAACCCCTGAGCTCTACACTTACAAGTGGTAAATTTTATGTTATGTGTATTTTACCACAACAAAACATTTTGGAGGAAAAACTAACGAGCAGATTTAGAACACGCTGCTCCATGGAAATTTGTGGCAGAGTGGGATTTATCTACTACTTCTGGAGTGGATGTTACACAAAGGCCAGAATCGGAACTGAGGAAAGGCAAGGCTTAGGGGACGATTTCATTGGCCTTTAAGATGACCTCGACAATGACTCCCAAGCAGAAGTGTCTGAGGAGCGTTGTCCTGTCGGAGGATGCCACAACACCTCCCCCAGGAGAAGACCCCAAAACTCTGAAAGCAGCTACTGTTGAATAATTGGCCTGTGAAACCTGCATATTCTGTGGTGGGGGGGACGGTGTGGAGAAAAGTAAGCTGATTTAACAGGAGGCTGAGATGGGAAATGCAAAGAATGACTCGTTCCATTGTGCTTTGTCCTGCTCTCAAAACAAAACAGAGGCTGTATCTCTAAGGGAACCAGGTTGCCAGGATGCAGAGGTCAGAGCAGAAATGGAAATAAGAATAAAGTGGAAAGGAGGAGGAAGGGCAGGAGCAGGTAAAGCAGTATCTCCCCGCTCAGAACCTCAACTCCTGGCCCTGTGTGCATGTCTCATACCTGAGTTACTGCACTAGAACTCCTCAATTATGACCCACAGGGAAAAGTACTGGTCTCATGGCAGAGAGACAACCTGCATTAGAAATACTCGTTGTTTTGAAAAATTGAGACTCCTGGATCCCAGCACAGGTGTGAATCAGAATCTCTGGATGTAAGAAGGCTCTAGTTACAAGCTTCGACCATGTTTATGCTCTGAAACCCTTTCCAAGTCACTAGAAGGACTTAGCTGGTGTTACAGAATTTATGCCACCGTAACTGGCAGCCTGATCTGGGCAGCTGGCCATCACTTCCTGCCACCCTCAAAGAGGGGCTTTACTGAGAATAAGTACATTAGAAGTCTGATACCAAGAGACACAACACAGAGCCCCTCACGGCATCTGTGGCAGATTGTACTTCCCGGAGAGGGCTGCAAGAATCTCTTGTCCCTTTTACTCTCCAAGGACCTTGCCACAACACATTGAGGATTATGTTCCATGTCCCCTCTCCTTTGGACCTGGGTGGACCTTTGCAACTGCCTCAGCCAAAAAAGTTCAGTAGACGTGACGTTGTCTGACCTCTGAAGTGAGGTCATAAAAATGTTGTGCACTTCCATATCGTTCTTTTGCGATGCTTACCCTGGACACCCCAAAAACATACTGTGAGGTGATCCAAACAGCCTCTTGGCTAATATGGAGAGCAACTCAGGCCCCTATGCTCAAGTCCTGGCTGAACCACTCACCAAGAGGCAGCAGCATAGAGCTGTGAGTACATCATCTAAAAGGCTATCCTTCAGCCCAAGGTGAGCCACCTGAGGTCACACGGCATGAGCAGAGCTGGGGGATTCTGCCCCAAATTGTAGACTCTCTAAGTAGAAGAAATGACTCTAGTTGTGTAAGCCATGAGGCGGGCACAGCTAACTCTGATGCAGCATCCCTGGGGAGGGGGGAGGGAAATATGGATAATCATTTTGTACCTTGGAAGATGAGATAAACTGTCTTTTGCTATTCTTTGCTTTGTCAGTTTATAAATCATCTACATAACTCCCTTCCAAACCCCAGCTTCTTCCAAGGAGTTGCTGCTCCTTGACACTAGCAATTGAGTTCTAGCCTCTTGTGTCATTTAAGGAGGGTTTGATTTTTATATATATAATTTATTGTCAAATTGGCTTACATAAAACACCCATTGCTCATCCCAACAAGTGCCCTCCTCAATGCCCATCACCCACTTCCCCCTCTCCCTCCCACCCCCCATCCACCCTCAGTTTGTTCTCTGTATTTAAGAGTCTCTTGTGGAAGCCTCCCTTCCTCTCTGTTTGTAACTACTTTTCCCCTGTCCATTCCCCCATGGACTTCTGTTATGTTTCTCAAGATCCACATATGAGTGAAAATATATGACATCTGTCTTTCTCTGACTGACTTATTTCACTCAGCATAATGCCTTCCAATTCCACCCACGTTGCTGCAAATGACATGATTTCATTCTTTCTCATTGCCAAGCAGTATTCCATTGTATATATAAACCACATCTTCTTTATCCATTCATCAGTTGATGGACATTTAGGTTTTTTCCATAAATTGCTATTGTTGAAAGCACTGCTATAAACATTGGGGTACATGTGCCTCTATACATCAGCACTCCTGTATCCCCTGGGCAAATTCCTAGTTAGTGCTATTGCTGGCTCATAGGGTAGTTCTATTTTTAATTTTTTGAGGAACCTCCACACTGTTTTCCAGAGCGACTGCACCAGTTTGCATTCCCACCAACAGTACAAAAGGGTTCCCATCTCTTCACATCCTTGCCAGCTTCTATAGTTTCTTGATTTGTTCATTTTAGCCACTCTGACTGGTGCGAGGTGGTATCTCTGTGTGGCTTTGATTGGTATTCAAGGAAGGTTTGATTTAAAGGAAGTTGCTTGGTGCAAGGGAGCCCTAGGCATTTGGAATGCCCAGAAGAAACACGATGTCAAGGAGAGGGAGAATGAGTCTGAATAATAAGACTTCTCAGTTATAGCAAAGATGATAAGAAAACTCCTATTTATCATGACTTCTATGTACAAACACATATAAATTATGCTGTAATTTTCTAATAAGCGACCTAGAAAACATTTTTTGTTTGTTTGACAGAAGAGTTTCACCCTCATCTTGCACCTTTGGGGCCGTGGTTCCTAGACTAGCAAGCTGAGGTAGAACTAAACTGCTTTGCATAAGAAAGGTGTGTGGACTGGGGCACCTGGGTAGTTAAGCATCTGACTGTCATTATTGGCTCAGGTCATCATCTTGTGGTTGTGGCACGGGGCCCCACATCAGGCTCTGCACTGGGCATGGAGCCTGCTTGGGATTCTCTCTCCTCTCTCTTTGCCCCTCCCCCACGCATTTTCTCTCTCTCTTTCTCAAAATAAATTTTTTAAAAATGTTTTATTTATTTCTAGGAGAGAGAGAGAGACAGCGTGAACAGGGGAGGGTCAGAGAGAGAGGGAATCACAGACTGAAACAGGCTCCAGGCTCTGAGCTGGCAGTCAGCACAGAGCCCGACGCGGGGCTCGAACCCACGAACCGCGAGATCATGACCTAAGAGAAAGTCAGACGCTTAACCAACTAAGCCACCCAGGAGCCCCTCAAAATAAATTTTAAAAAAACATTTAAAAAAGAATCTTTATGTGTCAACTATACTTTTAAAAAAAAGCCTTTCAAAATTAAAAGAGAGAGGAAAACAAAGACTCCCCATGTACAGATCATTCAACTTTAACATGACAAACTTGGGTTCATGTTTTAAAAACTCATATTGAATTTTTCATGCTGCTGTATTAACAGACACCAGAAATGTTGAGGACATTAATTTTTTAATAGCAGTCATTTTAGAGAATAGCACTGGGAATAAATTTCTTTTGGGATAAACTGGAAATTAAAAAGGTCTTGAAGCCATTGGAAGCCATATGATTAGTTGAATTAGTTTCTAAAATTTGGGTGAGACAGCACAGCAGATGAGTGCACCATCCCAGGATTTCTTTCACCACATTGTGAATGACCTGTAGAAATCAGAGGGGGAGAAAAGGAAAGAAGAGAGAAAAAAAATGAATAAACAATTTAGAACTTACCAATTTCATCTTTCTTTATATTATCTTGCTCCCAAAATCAAAACTTTTATTCCACCCCTACCCTATTACCAAATTGCTGCATATTTAAAATTTACATCAAATCATGGTCCCTGATTCAGTACAATCTATTAGAAAGAATCACAATCACCAGTTAAGATTAAGAAGAATCTCCTAGGTGAGGGCATTATTATGCTTCCTTGCTTGAAAGCGACATTGATTTATTCTTCCACAATATTTATTAAGTGTCTACTAGGTGTCAGGAACTGTTTCTAGGTGGTTGAGAATACTCTGTAGGTTGCCTGGGTTAATTTCTGTTATCAAATGTCAATGAATCATTAACCATGCCAAGGTAAGAGTCTCCAAAGGGTGGAGAACACTAAACAATCTTTTTCATTGACTGGATGACTATACCAGTAAACTGTCATGCCCTCCTTTCCTTAGAGCTACTTTGGCATCAGATTCTGACTCAAATTGTTAACACAGGCTTTTTAACAAACATCACTTCTTGGAAAGAGAGATAACAGTCAATTCTCAGGAGGTAAAGGAGGAAGAGGGATGATAAGAAAACTCATAAGAAAATGTGAGTTGGGGAGCTTAGGAAACTAGGTAAATGAGCAGCTACCCAGCTTTGACAACATAACCACCAAAAAGTCAGTGACTCTTCTTCATAGTGGGGGCTTTGGGAATTTGGCATAACTAGGTGAATTGTCCACACATTACTTACAGAGACTAAAAAATAGCTTCCCATCACTCTGGAGGAAGGATTATTATATTAACATGCTGGTGTCATCAAGAACACAGAACTAGGCACACTATGCAGTCATACTTAGTATAACACCTGAATCAGTTACTGTTGGCAACAGTAGACCTAGGAACCAAACTTAGGGAAACAAATGTCTGGTCACACACATATGTCTACTACCATAAATCATGGTCTAATTAAGATACACATGGTTGATATGTGGCATGCTCATTTGGTACCTCACACAGCCACCCCTCCTGTGGCAGACAACCTAAAAAAATCCCAGAATTCTTTCCTATCCTACCAGATTTAGACCTCTCAACCCATGGGAGCTGACTACCAGCTGTTGGTGTGGGCTGGTGATTAAAAATCATTTGTCCCCCATTTTGTAAGGGATGTTTCATGTGTTTGTGAGAGAAGACCAAGGACATAAAAGATGTTATTAAGATATTTGTTTTGACACTCCTAATCAAAGAATTCCCAACAACTTACCAAGTTGTAAGCACTTTTTAGAAAGCATTCATTGCTTTTCTTTTCTCAATATCTCGCTTGAGTTGGCAAAGGGTGCATTGAGGGAAACATCCCAGCCACAGGAAATCATTGCAAATAGATCCCTGTTGAAAACCAAACAGTGGGTCAACATACATCCCAGAAATACAGTCACACAATTCCTTGCATTTGTATAGCTTTTCAAAACCCTTTAGAAGGTACATTGGTACATAAGTGTCTGAGTTGTGATTTTGGCTCAGGTCATGATCTCATGGTTCATGGGTTTGAGCCCCATATTGGGCTCTGAGCTGAGTGTGGAGCCTGCTTGGGATTCTGTCTCTCTCCCTCTCTCTGACTCTCCTCTGCTTATGCTCGCTCTCAAAATAAATAAAGTAAACATTTTTTAAAAAAAGGTATGTTGTATGTTACTGGCTTATCATGAGAATTCCGTGACATGATCCCCATTTTTCTGATGAGCAAGTGAAGTTAAATGACTTGTTCAGATCACATGACGAATCGGTGGCAGCTCTTGGTCTTTCTTTTCTCAAGCCAGTGCCCATACGACACTATGTCAAATGGTGTGCAGGCTACCACTGTAGCTCCAGTCCTCTATCATCTCTTCTGAAATGCTTCCCTTAAAGCCAGTTGTGAAATGCACAATTTTTTTTTCTGTAGCTTGTGAGTAGTGCCAGACCAGGCCCCACATTGCATCCCTCTAGCCAATTTCATTGACATCTTTCATGTTCTGCAAAGGGGGATGTTAGCAACAAGGGAGAAATACATAAATTATGGGGAAAAGAAGAAAGAAATGAATGATTATTGTTTGGCAAACCATGGAATGGAGTACTTTGCAAGGATTTGAGGGCCCTCTCACTGCAAGGGTCCATTTGAGTCCTCAGTGACTTTCTGGGAGACACACCCTTGAAAGGGCTCCTATTGTGGTGCAGGAGACACTGGGTAAACAATTCCAACATTCACATGTTCTATGACCTTACGCCTTTCTCATTTTCTCATATATCTGGTTCTCATATCTATAAAGGGAGGTAATGATTCCTGTACCACAGGAGTTTGCATGTAGTAAATGAGCAAATATACATCAAAATAATATCCCAGCAACAGTAGTACAATCAGTGACTGCCTCTTTCTTTTCTTCCCCCTTCTCTCTTGTGCCCTGGCCAAAGGGGTGCTTTCTTGGCTGTGTCCACTAAGGGAGAGGCAGAGCAGAGAGGCTGCATTGCAGCAGCCCCATAAAAGTTTGCATGGGTGTGAAAGAGAAACAAAGCAGAGAGCCTGAATGATACAAATCAGTCCAGGGAATTTTTTTTAGTCTGTTCTAAGGAGGAAATAGAGATACACTGTCTATAAATATGCTACTTCATTGTACATCGAGGAACCATAACATATCCTAGAATCCTAGAACTAGGAATCATCTTGCACAACTTCCTCATGACAGATGAGAAAACTGATGTCACCAAATGACTTAGCAGAGAGTCAAACAGTTTGCTATTTGTTGAGTGTTTCCTAAACCCTCATCTCCAGATCCAGCTAAGTGCCCCTTCCTGTATTCCATGTTGAGGTTTTGGGCTGCTTTGAGACTCTTACCCTCACACCGTATACCTAAGTACATATGCATGACACTTTGCATGCAATTCAGGAAGTTCAAGATGCCTGACACTTTGCATACGATTCAGGAAGTTCAAGGTGGGGGCACAAAGTTAAGTCTTATGCTGCCTTAAGGACAGCATGAAGGAGAGTAGCCTCCGGCAGTGAGCAAGTCAGGCGGCTGAGCAGGCACACAGTAGAAATGAGCCCGGGGATCTGAACACACCACTGTCCTGAGAAACAGTTGAGTGATTCTTGGAGAAAAGAACAAAAATGAAAGTAGTTGTTTACGAAACACTTATTAATTGCCAGGTGCTGTGCTACACATAGTATATACATTGTCGATTCATTATGTCACATGACTTTTACCACACTACCAAGGGGAAGTATCGTTATGACAATTCAATCTGTGAGGGGGCTGAGGCTTAGGGAGATTAAGAACTTGCTCCCATTCCTATGGGAGCAGTGAGTGGGGCAGAGGCTAAGTTTCCAGGAAAAACTCCATCATGTCAGTTCTTTGTTTAAAACATTTCAGTGGCTTCTCTGCTCACTCAGAGTAACAGCTAAAGTTCTTATGCTGGTCTTCAAGGCCCTAGAAGTTCTAACTCTTGCTCTGATGTCATCTTTTTTCCATGACATCCTAACCCCACCACTTACTCTCTCTATTCCTGCTTCTCTGGCCCCTTGCAGTTTCTGGAACATTCCAGATAAACTCTACTTCAAAGCCTTGGGTGGCACCCTTTTTTCTCCCCGGATCTTCCCAAGATGGGTCAACTTCTCATCCTTTTAGGTCTTTACTTTTGTACCAAGGTCTTCCCTGATAGCCCTATTTAAAATTAGAACTCCCTTTCTAAAAATGTGGATGAGTATTGAATTGCGTTGAATGGTTTCTCTGCATCAATTGAGATGATCCTGTGGTGTTTCTTTTTGAATCTATAAATAGGTTATTCTGCTACAGAGCCATCTTTGCATTCCTGGGATAAACCCTGTTTAGATAAAAATATATTTTATGATGCAGAAAATAAAATAAAATGCTTTAACACTCTTTATTCCTCTACTTTGCTTTATTTTTTTTTCAGTACCACTTACCAGTGCCCTATAAATCTTTTACTTAGTTACATTGTAGCCATCTTCTATTAGAGTGTAAGTTCTGCCATCATAGTAACGATCGATCTAGGTGAGAATGTTCAATGGATATTATTCCTTGTGGGTGAAGGTTTGATGAGAAATAAAATATTTATGTCTCTCACCAAGGGCCTTACGCATCACAGAGGGGAAAATGGCAACCTTACAGTGGAGACTCTTGACAGACACAATCGTAACTAAGTAATCAAATTAAACAACAACCATAATGGGATACACTGATGTCATGTGCCTCTTGACATAAAGCACAGCAAATATTGTGTCAGAACTGAAGTTCTGCCAAGGTGTAAAACCTGTCTAACCACGAGGACACGTTTGACACACCAAACTGAAGGATAGTTGACAAAATAACCGATCTGTGCTTAGGGGAAAAAAAGACGAGGAAAGACTGGGAAACTATTCCCTGTTGTAGGAGACAAACTAGGAATGACAACTGAAGAAATATGTGATCCCAGATTGATTTTCTTCTCATCCAAAGAATGTTAATTGGGTTAATTGGTAAAGTTTAAATAAGATCCACAAATTGGCTGATAGTATTGTATCAGTGTTAAATTCCTGATTTTGATTATTATACTATGGTAATATAAATGAATGACCTTGTTATTAAGAAATACATGCTGTAATAGAGGTAACAGGACATCAAATTTGTAATTTCCTCTCAATATTTCGGAAAAAAATAAAACAGAATGGACAGAGAGGTAGAGGAAAGAGTAAATAAACAAAGGTGGCAAGATTTTTAGCATTTGGGGAATGTGGATGAAGGGTATTCAGGAATTCTTTGTATTATTTCTTTGTTGTTGTTGTCGTATCATTTCTGCAACTTTTCCTTAAGTCTGAAACCATGTTAAAATAAAGGTCTCAGAAACAAGAAGAAAAGGGATGTAAGCTACATGCAGACGGGCTTTTGATTTGCTTTGTTCACTGAGGCGTCTCTAGCATCTGGAATCAGCATGTCCCATGTACGGGGTAAATCCCTGTTGAATGAATGAATACTAAAGGGACTTAGGCAGTGCCTAGATGCTCCATAACCACTTTTAAATTAATGAACACTGGCTTAGGAGGCAGCTGTGCCAGCTGTGAAGGGATCCACTACACACCACCTCTCCCCAAAGCTTTCTAACCAACCGTGGGCCAGCCTGCAGATGTGTAGGGTCCTGTGTCTGCCTCTGAGCAAAGCCAGGAGAGGCTAAGGGCCCCCTGTTCCTTCCCTACTCACCTCTGGCAACTCTTTCAGGGACACATCTACTGGAGCGATTTAAGATTGTGTTACTAATTTATTCCAGAGTGTACGAGGCGGCACAGCCCCTGGTAATCACTTAATACACTGCGGGTGGGAGTGGAGAAAAGATTAGGGTGAAGCCATGAAGGCAAGGTGGGCAATCACACAGATGTGGTCAGACTGAAGAGAGCCCTCGGGTATCTGGGCTCGCGCCTCACGGTGCGCGCGGGTGACTCACCGGGATGCCATATCGGGTTCGATACAAGGTCCTCATGGCGACACTTGCTCCACACAGACAGCATTCGTTCATGTCAGAGGCGATCTGACAGGAAAGGCACAAGGGAAAGAAAGTCCCACAGATGCCTGGGTACAGGGAGAAGCCACACAGAAGAGTTAGTGAAAGTCACCATGCTTTCAATGACATCACACCTCTTTCAATAAGATGTTGGCTCAGGAAATGGCTCTAACGGGCACTCAGAGAAAACAATGTTGTCACCTGGCCCTTAGTGTCTTGCTTCTTGAGCTGGCTGTCCAGGAACTGGGGATAATTTGTGAGTCATTATTACCGGGTCAGATTTAATTGCAAAAGCTCCTGCCTTGCCAGTCTGAGATTGTTCACATTATCTTTCTTCCCTGCCCTTGTTACATATGGGTCATGCTTGCGGAGGAAGTTCGTGGCGTCAGGATGTCTGAGAAGCCATACAACATCCAGGGGAGGGTGTTTAGAGGCAGAAACCACTGAGTGAACAAATCATTACAGACAAAGAAGAGACATAGATTCTAGGTGGTCATTTGGGTAAAAGGAGGGCCCTATCATCATGATGAGGATGGAGGCAAGCAGGAATTAAGAGATACGGGTATCAGTTGTTTAAATGTTGAGTGCAATTTCACTTTAAAGCCTCTCTATAAGACAGAGGAAGGGCTTAAGAAAATAGAAACAAACAGGAAACTGTTCTCAAATATGCTTTGAGTAAAAATCTGTTTTGAAAAGTTCCGGGGTGGGGTTCTGGTATGGCTGTACCCTAGATATAAGAGAGTCTGTGATTTCTTGATTGATTGTTTTTAAGCAAAAGGCTATCTCCGAAGAACCTAGCGGAACTTCCATCATACACACAAAAAGGAGGCTATTTCTCATGCCCAATGGAAAGATGAGCCCCACAGAGAAGGTCTGCAACCCACACAGCACGAGACTCTGAAATAAGAAAAAGTTTCTCACATAAGAGTGTGTTTTGTTGTGGAAAATAATTAGATTTTGGTAAAGCCAAAAACCTGCAACACTTCCTGAAATGGGTCAATGACAAGAGTTACAAGAACGTCACTGAAAGCTGGGAAACATGGAACAGCATTGTAGGAGAGAGGGGGAAGTAAATAGAAGACAAACTGGAGCAATATGTCAAGAACATGGTGATACTAAGAGGTGGAAAATTGCAAAACGTGATTGATCTAGGCAAGGATCACAAACTCAAGTTCGCGCAGCTAAAATGAGTGAAATAGCTGGAGAAAAAAACACAAAATAGACAATAGTGGACATAAATACACATGGCAAACAGTAGAACAAGACTGTCTTTCAGTGGGATTAGCTAATGCTAAGCAGGAGTGAAGTGCTCCCCCCACCCCATGTGTGATGAAAGCTCATCTCTCCAGATTTTTTAATTTCCAAGAGAAGTTGGAAATCTACACTGGAAAGCCAGATTTTTATGTGAAATCTGATTTTTATATGTTTCCTAGTCTTTTTAAATTAATGCATGAAGAGAGTTCATTGTGTACAGGACAAACAAAACACATCTGGTGGCTAAATCCACCCACAGGCTTGCAGTTTGTGATTTCCCGAGTTGGACCATAAAGCTGGAGTTCAATGGCAGGATGAGTAGATGAGTTTCATTAGGTCAGGAGCCTGCATTATGGGAGCTGAGGAGGAGCAATAACCACATGTACTTACAAATCCCCAGGTCATCACAGCAGTCAAACACGCCAGACTGCCAGTCACTAGTCATCACACCCGCTGTCCCATATCCTGGCTGTGAAACAACTGGATTCATTTTTAAGGCTACGTTCCAAAGGGCACTGCCTGTGAAAACAAAACCAAAAACCTGTTAAACACCTGCCTCTGTTGTTTGGATATCATGCAGATCCTGGTGGAGGAGACATTTCATCACCATTCTCCTGATTAGGGGTGGCCACACTCAACTGACTTAACAAGATATTTCCAGACTATTGTTGATACTAGGCAATTAGAAACATCAAGGAAATGGGGTGAGGGCTCCTTGCACAGGTTTTCTGGGGGGTTCTCTGATCTTTTTTTTTTTTATTGTCAAGAGGAATTTTTTCTTCTCTTTTCAAGACAACCATCCTGAGCAACATCTATTTTGCATATGAGGTGTTTTATTTCATAGTATTTGTAATAACTTTTACAAAGCTATTGCACAAAGGGTGGCTCAGTCGGTTAAGTGTCCGACTTTGGCTTAGGTCATGGTCTCACAGTTCACGGGTTGAAGTGCCATGTCAGGCTCTGTGTTGACAGCCCAAAGCCTGGAGCTTACTTTGGATTTTGTGTCTCCCTCTCTCTTTGCCTGTCCCCCACTTTTACTCTCTCTCTCTCTTTCTCTCAAAAATCAAACAAACAAACAAACAAAAAAACCCCAAGCTATTGCACAGACATTATCTCAGTTGCCCCTTAAGAGAACGTTGTGAAATAGAGTTTTTTACTTCTCAAAAAAATTGTCATCACACAGATGCTTCTAGCTAATGTCAGCCCTCATTGTGTAATTACTAGTGGTATCCTGATAGCTAAAGTTTTAACAGATATCCTAGGTTACCTAAAAAAATTAACTTCTTTTTGTGAAATCGTCAGTCCAGAATCTGATAAAAAGGGATGTGGGGGTGAGGGGGCTTCAAGCTTCCACAGAAAAACACAGTAGTTGAAAAACCACTAAGGAATAGTGTCCCTTGAACAAAGTGGTGCCTATACTTTTCAGATTTCATCAAGTGATCAAGTGAAGTCTCCTGAGCTATAACCAGTCAGAACTCCCAAGGGAGAGAACGTGTTTGGTTTTACAACGACTAATGTTAAAACTTTCTTCTTTACTATTTCAGATATAACTGTATGCTGTGCTCTGTAGCCTTGGCCCCTGTTCACCTGTAACTTTTCCCTTAACCAGGGGCAAGTCCCCATCATCTGTACACCTGCTCCTCCATGTTGTCAGGGAAAGCCCCAGTCCAAGATGCTCCCATAGTGCATCTCAGTCCTGACTGCGCAGTAGTTTCATCCTTTGTGCTGGGCTGAAAACACACATACTTGATTCTGATTCACTAGCTGGGGTGGACCCCAAGTGAGTAACATTTTAAGAGGCAGTCGTGAAGCAGACAGCTCTGGAGACCTGATTTACAGGTCATTTCACTGTCTCTCAGCCTTTGCCAGTCTTCTTAGCTCTTGCCCTGCCCTGCTCTTTTTACTGATTGATTGTGTGTATGCTGAGATCCATGGCTGTGATCAATTGACTCTCCCAACAAATGAGTCCTTATAAAAGGGGTGGAGGTTTTGACTGGGTGGCTCAGACGGTTAAGCGTCCGACTTCGGCTTAGGTCATGATCTCCCAGTCTGTGGGTTCAAGTCCTGAGTCGGGCTCTGTGCTGACAGCACAGAGCCTGGAGCCTGCTTTGGATTCTGTGTCTCCCTCTCTCTCTGCCCCTCCCCTGCTTGCACTCTGTTTCTCTCTTTCTCAAACGTGAACATCACACACACAAAAAAAGTAAACAAGGTGTGGGTAGAGGTTTTATGGATTAATAAAAGCCAAGGCACTTTGGACTGCCTTGGAAAGGTGTCTGTAATATTTATTATAAAGAACCTGCTTTATGACATATAAGGGGAAACCACCAGATTGAGAAGGCTCTATAAGTACTGTCAAATCACACCAGGAATTATGTTTGAAACTATAGGGCTAGATAAATATTTCACAGGGGTCCAAAAGCCTTTCTCCTCTCTGATTATGTAGGAGGACTATGATATCTTTTCTACTACCATCTAATCAGGGTGGGCACACAGTGTGAGCTCAGTCTGTTATCCAAGAAATAGTTACAGTATGTGAATAAATTGTGCGGGCAATGGGCTGTAAGGTACGGAATGTTATAGATATACTTCTGGCCTCAAGCATGAATTATCCATTACCTTCAAAGTATATATTGGGAAAATCATTACAAACAAATATACACATAGCTGTGGCTGCTGCATGGGTATCATTAAGGAAAGAAAGATATACCAATAAGGCTATATTCTTTTTTATGAAAAATTTTTAATGTTTATTTATTTTTGATAGAGAGAGATAGAGAGCGCATGTGTGTGTGAGCAGGCCCTCCTAACATCTTTAAAGTGAATTTAATACCACTTTTCTCATGGTTTGTTGTATTACTGTGATCTCCAAGACTATGTCAATAGACTATATCTATTAAGCACCGTGTTTCCTATAGGTCAGTGACCTGACATATACGCCCCTGTGTCTACTTTGGGCTAAATTTTGCTAAGTAGCAAAGATAATGCCTGGGGTCACAGCTCCAGAAGGCTAATGACAGTGTGGTGATAAAGTAAACAATGGGGTAGAGATCTAAAGGCTTGGATTTTACTTTTTTGTTGTTTATTTATTTATTTTGTGAGAGAGAGACAAAGAGAGAGAGACAGAGACAGAGAGACAGAGTGACAGAGAGCTGGGGGTGGGTAAAAAGAGAGAGAGAGAGAGAGAGAGAGAATCTCAAGAGAATCCACACTGTCAGCGCAGAGCCCAATAGGGGGCTCAAGCCCACCAACCGTGAGATCAAGACCTGAGCTGATGGGGTGCCTGGAAGGCTCAGTCGTTTGGGCGTCCCACTCTGGCTCAGGTTGATCTCACGGTTTGTGGGTTTGCACCCTGCGTTGGGCTCCATGCTGACAGCCAGCTCAGAGCCTGGTGCCTGTTTCAGATTCTGTGTCTCCCTCTCTGTCTGACCCTCCCCTTATCACACTGTCTTTCTTTCTCAGAAATAAATAAAAAACGTAAAAAAAAAAAAAGACCTGAGCTGATATCACGAGTCAGACACTCAATTGACTGAGCCACCCAGATGCCCCTAAAGGCTTGGATTTTAGTCACTGCTGGTATTTGGTAGGCTCAAGAAAGATCCTGCTACGTGAAGACATTTTGAAAACTGAAAAATCACCATATACATGAGAGAGAATTTAAAGAGCATGTCAGTGACAAGAAAGCAGATGGAAAAACCTGAATGCGATATGTTGCCAATATAACAATGGCTTATGTTTGCAAGGAGCATTCTATTTTCCAAAGTGTGTTCATGTTTGATCTCTAGTTAACTGTGATCTCTGTTTAATATTCCCCGCACACTGAAGCACTCAGGGAATGAAGGCTGATACAATGCTTTCTACTGCAGACATGAAAACAGAGGCAGAGAGGTTACAAGCCAGGGCCAAGGTAAGTCAGGAGCAGTAGTCCAACCTCTCTAATTTATAGATGAGGAAATAAAGCTTGTCTCAAAGATGGAGGGTTTCCTTGCACCCTCTTCACAGACTTCCAGGGCAAAGATGTGGAGACACCTCACAAGAAACATTACGGAAGCCCAAAGATGAGAAGGTGGACCAGACAGCAGGATCCAGTAGTTTCCATCATGGAGGCTGCCCAGACTCCAGCTCTCCACTAGTTAATGGTCTTGGAGGAATTACTTCCTTCCAAGTGCCTCATTATCTTGAATCTGTGAAATGGGGATATGCACCGCACATAGTAATAAAGCTGTCAGGAGCATTAAACAATATTTGAAAAGCCCTTAGAGTGGTGGCTGGCATGGGGTAAATTCTTCCCGAGTAGTAGCTACATCAAAGATACTTGGGCCTGGAGGGATATCAATAGAATTCCCACCCCTCCTTTACACTCTTCTATATATTGTAATAAATGGGCATTTCTTCTACAAGGCCACAGATGAAGGGGACAGAAACAGGAAGCAAGTCACATGTCCACAGTGACAGAATGGGAGGGCTGGGATTTAAATTCTTGGGACTCTAAAGCTTTTATTATTATTTCCACTGACTCTACCAATCTGGGATTATAATCTTGGCCAGCTAAAGTGAGAAAAGATAGCTACTACTGCCATTCACCATAGTTGGTCTGAAGTCAGAATCAGAATCTTCAAAATAGCCCTTTCATATTTTTTAGTATTTTTTAAGTTTATTTAATTTGAGAGAGACTGAGATAGTGCAAGTGGGGAAGGGGCATAGAGAGAAGAAGAGAGAATCCCAAGCAGGATCCATGCTACCAGGACAGAGACCAATGCAGGGCTTGAACTCACGAAACCATGAGTGAGATCATGACCTGAGCTGAAACCAAGAGTCAGACACTTAAGTGACTGAGCCACCCAAAATTAAAAAGGACTTCTGTTCAGGGCATCTGGGTGGCTCAGTCAGTTGAGCATTTGACTCTTGATCTGGGCACAGGTCACCATCTCACGATAAGCTATTCAAGCCCCACATCAAGTTATGTACTGCTCAGAGTCTGCTTGGGATTCTCTCTCTCTCCTTCTCTGCCCCTCCCCTGCTCTCTCTCTCCAAAATAAATAAATAAACATTAAGAAACAACAACAACAAAAAAGAACTTTTGTTCAATCCACAGTTATCACTTTAAGTCCATAGTTCTTTGGGTTGGGCTTCTTTGACCTCCATTTGAATATAAACACGCTTCACAAATTCTCCACCTGTAGTCTTTGGGATCCTATTTCTTTATTTTAGGGACAAGCTTAGGGTCAGAAGAGATGGATCTGCCTGGTTCTCAATTTCAGACATCCTCTAAACATGAATGAGTTCAAATCATATTCACTCCTAAACTATCACATCCCAGAATTGTACAGATTGTTGGGATATGCCAATACCTAAGTTTTTTTTTTTAATTGATGATTAGGTCTTTCACATAGTTTTAGCAGAAAGATGTCTTGTAGTTCTTTCCCACAGATCTAACACATTTTTCTGTGAATAAAGGAAACCACAAATGTACTCTACAAGGTGTTTCCAATAATATAGGTCTACAGAAAAAAAGCCCCATCAGGACACACCTCAACCCTTTCAATAAACATCTAATTGAAGTGCAATTTACATTTAGTAAAGTACAGAGATCACGAGCATGATTGATGAATCTAACAGTGAACAGTTCTTGTAACCACAGGCTGGTTCAAGAAGAAAGACATTACCAGTACCCAAGAAGCCCTTCTTAACTCTCCTAGGAAGTCATAACCCTCTGCCCAGCTTCTACCTTGTCTTCAAACGCCAGAGCCTCATTTTGCCTGTGTTTGATCCTTACATATATTTAATTATATGCACTATTTATTCTTCTGTGTCTGGCCTCTTTTGCTCAAAATTAAGATTGTGAGATTCAGCCATGTCGTGTATAAGAATAATTAATTTACTCTCATTGTCATATAATAGATCATTATATAGATATCACAACTTATTTATCCATGCTACCATTGTATTGTTTCTAGTTTGGACTATTAGAAATGGCATAGTAGTGCGATGAACATTCTTGTACCTATCTTTAGGTGGGCCAGGGATGTATTTCTGTTGCGTCTACCTCTAGGAGTAGAATTGCTGGGCCCTAGGCTTGGTAGAAAGTGCCAAAAAGTATTGTCAAGTGGTGGTACCAGTTTACACTCCCATCAGTAATGGATGAGAATTTTATTTGCCCCACATCCTTGGAATACCTGTTGATACCACCATCTTCCATTTTACCCGTAGGTTGCTACAGAATGTGGGAAGCAGAAGCCTAGGCTTAAGACTGAGAAAAGCAGAAATTATGGTTAAATGATTAAACAGAGTTACCACATTTAGGAAAATAAATAAAGGAGGTTCTGTTAAATTTGAATAAGTAAGACTCAAGCAATATTGAGACATACTTATGCTAAAAAATTTTTCATTCTTCAGTTGAAATTCAAATTTAACTGGGCATTTTGCATTTATTTGGACAGTTGTGAGAATGACTTTGGAATTAGATAATTCCATGATGGGGGGGGGGGGCAATTTCTGCCTCCCAGTTTACAAGAATGGGATTGGAGTGGGGGAGGCCAAAACAAAGAGGCTTCCCTAAGGTTGTGCAGGAAGCTGTCTCCCACCCTCCACAGGGTGGGAGAGGCCAAAGGACACTAACCGTGGCCATGATTTATTACTTCTATCTAAATTCTTACAAAGCATTTCCTCTGGGAATGCAGCTGTTTATTCATGGATAAGGGAAGGAAACGGAAATTTCTTGAGCAGTTTCTACTGCCAGTTTTCATGTTAAGCAATCTTAGGTATGTGATGGGATTCTAGCTTCATAATAATCTTTTCTCCTAATTTGAAACCAAATACTTGGAGCAGTGCAGGCCAGGTGGGTGAGCTAAAGCCAAAGTCCACGCTCTTGCATTCTACCAAGGAGTCCAACTGATTGGCCCAGGCCTTGCATAGACTCCATTTCTCTCAACCATCCCCAGCTATGCTGATGGGATCCTCCAAACTGATGAATGTCACTTGACTTGAGTTTCCTCAGGTTCCTCATTCCCTCTGTTTCTATCCCTCCTTTCTCCTTTGTCCACCTCCTTCTGGCTTTCAGCTTCCTACCAGATCATTCCATGGGTTGTATGCAACCCATTTCTAGAAAAGCAAAGTAAATGGAGTCAATTGGGAAGACCCTGCTTTGAGTCACTTCGAGCTTCTCCAGCACCCAAACAGCCCCCACCGGCCCTGTTTTTTAATGCTGGGTCTCATCTACATCTGGAATCAGTGTCCTACTCCCCTGCATCTCAAGCAGAATTATGCAGTCTCTGCATCACATGTGGACTCTGCCTTTGCACCTATTGTGTGTAGACCAGAAAATGCCATTCCACAATATGCCTCTCTGGCAGAAGAGTTATTGTTAGTTGATTATTTTGATTATTTTACCCTGTAAGGGAAATTTACATTTATAAGGGAAAATCTCCATTTGTAAGTGTCCCTGTCTCCTATCTGGAAGAGAGGGATGATTCTATACCACAAGAAACTCTCAATGGAAAAAGTGCGGACTCAAATCTTCATTACAAACCTTACCTTTGTTTACCTGCTCCCCTCCCCATAAATGGCTTTCCCTACACTTTCTCTCTCCAGTGTCTTTAGCTGAAGCTGGTGTTTAAGACCGAATTCTAAGCCACCTCTGAGAGTTCCTCATTTTCCTGCATATCTCCCATGTACATGAGATATATGAGTAATAAACTTCTGTTTTTCTCTTCTTAATCTGTATGTTGTTTCAGGGGCCCCAGCTGAGAATTGGAAGGGTAGAGGGTAAGTTATTTTTCGTCTCCTACAAAATCATTTCTGAAATTTTAGCCAAACCATGAAAACTTTCAGTTATAAGGAAATTTAAAATGATTATGCATCATTGAAAGTATGACATTTCTGAATTTAAACTAAATAATATCTGGAAACAAAAAGCCTTTGGTCACTGTTGGGTAGTGGGGTGATGTGAGGAAGGCATTCTGCACAACTTAGTGAAGCCTCCATGTTAGGCCTTAGGTGAGGATATATCTCTTTTGCTTAGAGACTTGGAGTGAGGAAAGAAGGTTACCAGTATCTGGCTTCCAGGCTTCCCTGCCTCCCCAGACACATCCAGATCCTGCTCTTCCCAAGGAATCTCCCTCCCTGAGCCACTCTAGCACCCAGAAACACCACAGCAGGCCTGCTGCTAGTCCTGGGTCTGAGTCTGCATCTGGAGCCAGTTATCCGGATCATCTACAGGAGCTTGCATTCCCTGTATCACAGTTTGATCCTTAAATAATGTGCCACCAATCACATCATTTCTGAAATGTTAGCCCAAACAATGAAAGCTCTGTTATATGTAAAATTAAAAATGATTGTGTATAATTGAAGGTATGGCATTTCCTAATTTAAGCAATGTAACTTCTTTTTTTTTTTTAATGTTTATTTATTTTGAGAGAGAGAGAAAGCATGAGCTGGGGAGGGCAGAGAGAGAGAGAAAGAGAAAGAATCCCAGGCAGGCTCTGAACTGTCAGTGCAGAGCCCAACGTGGGGCTCTATCCCTTGAACTGTGAGCTCGTGACCTGAGCCAAAAACAAGAGCCTAACTGATTGAGCCACCCAGGTGTCCCTAAACTAAATAATTTCTATAACCAAAAAGCAACTCCCAAACATTTTCCCTTTTGTTAAAAATGGTGCTTATGCTTGGTGATCCTTTAAACAATTTTTTTAATGTTTGTTTATTTTTGAGAGAAAGAGAAAGAGAGAGAGCATGCATGGTGGGGGGCAGGGGCAGAGAAAGAGAGGGACACAGAAGCTGAAGTAAGCGTTAGCCTATGAGCTGTCAGCACAGAGCCCAACGTGGGGCTTGAACTCATGAACAGAGAGATCGTGACCCAAGTGAAAGTCGGACACTTAACTTACTGAGTCACCCAAGCACCCCTCACGCTTGGTAATCCTTAAATGAGGATCCTCTCAGAAGTATTTGTATATTTGATAGTGCCTGACTGGGAATTTTCCTGATACCAGGAGAGTCCGTTATCCTCCTTTCACCAAGAAAGTAAAGGTTCTTACTCACTAAAACCTTGAACTGGGGCGAAGGTCAGGGATTAAGAGCACTGACATCTTGGGTCCCTCCCAGGTCTCTGTTGTCATTCTCCCACACTCTTCTCTGGTGACCTAATTCATTCAGCTTCTTCTCTACTTTCATTTTAAAATTTGTTAATCTGCTCTCAGGCGTACATGGCTCTAGGGCAAGAATGCCTTTTCACTCCCAAGCTGGTCACCTTCAGGAAATGACCCACCCTATTTTTCCAGTCCTCTGATTACCAGTTCCTTCACTTATCCAGTCAGGCCACGCTGCCCACCACTCAGCAGGAATTCCCTGTTCCTGCTGTGAGTTCCTGCCCTTTGTTTCTCTACTTACCTGTTAAGATCTCATCTCAAATGCCACCTCCTCCATGAAGCCATTCCTAACCCTCCAAGTTGGATTTGGCTATCTTCGTACTCAGCCTTGCTCAACTCTCTCATGATGTGGTGGAGAGCCCACTGGACATAGGGATCAGCACACTGGGTATGAGCCTCACTATTGATACTTGGCTACCTTTAAAAGTCAGTAACAGTGTCTCCACTTCCTTCTCCCCAGGTTATTGGGTAAGCTCTCAGAAGCTATGTTAGCTTCAGATAAGAGACTCAGATATGTTTTGTTTTGTTTTTTCATTTGCAGGTTTTTCTGAGAGCGAAAGCGGATTCCAGTCATCTGTATCCCCCAAAGACAGTGAGTTGCACATAGCTCAGAAAATACTAAGTGTTGAGGTTCAGGACACACTATCCTAAAATATGCCAGGTTGGCATGTTGAATGTATTGAACTGAAGGAGTTTGAAAAAATGGCAGTAACTAGAAGGTCCTTTTGACCTCTTTTTCTTGCCCTTCTCTAAAAGCAGGAGATAAATCTGTCACGTGAAAGGTACTTCCTCAGTACCAGGAACTGCTATTGATATCTAGTGGATAGAGGCCAAGGATACGCCCCCCCATTCTTTCCTCCAAGTCCCCCGATTTAATCCCCCTTTCCTGCCAACAATAAATTATTTGGCTTAATAGTGTCAAGGCTGAGAAACTCTTGATTAATGCTCTCATCTTGTTCTTAGAAGATTTGAGTGGCCTACAAACTTACATATATAACAAGATATAATGTGAACAATGAAGAAATTGGGCACAGGGAAAGTAAACTCTGAAGCAAATTTAGCACATGCTTTAAATTTTCTGTATATTGCTGGATATGAGCTACAAATAAAATTCTGAGCTTCCCACCAGGTAAAGCAAAGAAGGAACACAAATATTTAGGAAATTGCCCTTGTCTATAAAATAAGAACAGATTGAGATCTAGAGAAATTTCTCATCAAGGTCCTTAAAAAGGAGATGATATATGACATGTGGTGGTCAAAGCCCTTAACAGTATAAATAGAACAATAAATAGACTAATAATAAATACAATATAATACAATAAATAGAACAGTGACTTTCATGAACATATTTCCTAGTACAGGGTTAAAGCACAATGCTGGAGTAGAATCACTGAAGGCAAATTACTTCTCTCCCTGATAATCTGGATGATTCAGGATTAAAAATCAAGTTTTCAGGGAAACACTAGATGTATCTTCTTGGACAACCCTCCATGAGTATTTTCACCAGCGAGGCTATGGTAAGAATTGGGCAGCAATGGGGCTGAATTAGAAGTCTTTGATGAGAACCAGAGTTCAGATTCCCCAGGAAGGTTGCTTATGCTGCATAGGAATAGGGATGCAGAAGGAAAGTATTTAAGGCAAATGCACTGTCATAAAAACTAAATGAAGCAGCCAGGACACACACCTGAATAGAAGGCCACCCTCGTGTAGCACGGATGTGAGCTAACGGCCATCCTAACTCAAAATCCAGATAAGCTAAAAGCAGATTTGTGAGAAGCCTGTGTTTTCCTCAGACACCAGTTCTAGGCCTGCTTCAGCAAATGATCAGTAGGGAAGTTGAGAAAGGGAAAATGACCAACAGAGGCTACAAGTGACATTTAAATGATCCATTTAAAAGAAGCATATAGTGTTTGTTAAGAGGTACACCTTTTGCATGTACTGATGAATTGCATGTGACCATAGGAGTGATCAAAGTCCCAAAGCTGTGTAGCACTGAACCGGGAAAATGCTTATTTCAGGTGTTAACAAAACCCACCCACTGTGACAATAAAAGAAGGCAGTAAAACACTCTTGGAGCACAATTTTAGGTAACTAATTTCCTGGTCAGTACTATGGAGATGAAAGAATTGCAACATGGAATCTTAGATAATGTAATGAACTGACCTTTTAAAAATATCAACCACTTGACGCCAGTCTGATTCTGAGCCACTGCTTGCCTGGGCCAGGGGGTTAGTGGCCTTGGAACTGATATATATTTAATGTTTATTCATCGGAGGGGGGGGGAGGGTCAGAAAGAGAGGAAGACACAGAATCCAAAGCAGGCTCCAGGCTCTAAGCTGTAAACATAGAGCCCCATGCAGGGCTTGAACTCACGTACCGTGAGATCATGACCTGAGCTGAAATTGGAGGCTTAACCGACTGAGCCACTCAGGTGTCCCTAGAACTGATATTTTCAATGTGTCCCAGGTGACTCCAAGATGTGGTAAGGGTTGAAAATCACCGTATTAAAGAAAGTCTATCCAAAGTGATGGTTTGAGTATTGAAGTAGTGGAGCTTATGTCTTTTACACAAAAATGAAACACATATATACTCCCAATTTCAGATTTCTCCTACTACTTACATTTTTACTGCAAATATACATAATTACAAAAATGTAGCCAAAGTAATATGTTCAGTGAAGACACTCTAAAAATCACCAAAATATCAAAAGAAAAATATCTCTGGTGAATCTACCATACAATGTTAACCTTACTGAAATTTGTCACGTAATGTCCTTGTATTTAGTCCAATAAAAAACAATTCATGTACAGGACCATGTTTTAATGAAGATTTTCTTAAATTTGGTAATAAATCCATTTCTCCTACAGTATACAGAAGGCTATTATATTACTGCTTGTTACACTTGGGGAGCACGTATTCACCTCTTTTGGAAGTGGTATCCAATCATTGTGCTCCAGCTCAGAATTGTTATTATCTGATTAGTGAAGACCCTTACTACATCTCTTGAGTTGGCATAAATGAGCAGAGAGGGTCTTTCTTTCTAAGAAATAATTTAGTTGGAGTTCTTCCAGCTCATTCCATAATTTATTTCTGTCTGCTGAATTAAAGGTTGAGATACTATTAACTGAGGGGCGCCAGGGTGGCTCAGTTGGTTAAGCATCTGATTTCAGTTCAGGTCGTGGTCTCATGGCTCGTGAGTTCCAGCCACGCATCAGGCTCTGCACTGACAGTATGGAGACAGCTTGGGATTCTCTCCCTCCTTCTCGTTCTGCCCCTCCCTGACTGGTGCTTTCTCTCTCTCTCAAAATAAATAGACAAACTTGAAAAAAAGAAATAAAGAAATACAATTAACTGAGTGAATCAATTTTTGAGTTAACTTTAAAGTCCCAATTCATATGCAATACCCTGAAATCTCTCAAATTTCTCAACCAGATTCCTCACTTAAGTAATGGTCTATTTCCTCAGACTCATGTCTTGCCTTTATTCTGTTTCTCTCTTCAAGTCTTTCTTGGAACTCTTTGTCTCTACTAGGAGCTCAGCAAAGAGAAATCCTAAAGGGAGAAGAAGGTATCACTAGCTCCTGGATTTGCAGAGGACTTGGCTCTCTCATGCTTAGCATATCTAGTATCTGGTCATATCCACAGAATAGCAGTCCTGTAGATGTCTCAGACTTAACAGTGTGGCTAAAAAAACTAGAAGACCTATGAAGCATGCACTCTATTTTAAATCTTGCTGTGCCTCATATTTGAATTGCAATTACCTGTCTTTTTTAATTATGTGGGCCTAAGGTCCCTTACCTGGTAAATCAATACAGCTAATAGCTGCATCCATTTCAGTACAGAACATCTTGAACAGTCTTTATTATTATTTTTAAAGTTTTTGGTAAACGGTCATGTTTGTTAAGTGATTTTAAATTGTGTTTTATTATGAGTGGGTGAAAGAATCTGGAGTTCACCCCCCCCCCCCGCCCCAGCCCTATCCTCAGTGCCAACTACTCGTACTGGTGATGGAAATAACGAGAGCTAAGCTAGTACTGGTCCTTACCCATAAAATCAATGATTAGAACTTCTGGACTGTTGAATTTGGATGGTGTCTGGAATCTAAAACTTGAGCAGGACCCATCCAGTACTTTATAAGAGAACAACAAAACCATTTTGAGTGCTCTTGTTGGTATAAATAGGTGTCAAAACTTCAATGAGAATACAGTTACGTGTGACCTGGGAGCACTTAAATGATGACAAATTTAGTTCAGGGGAAAGGCAGTCGAGTATACAAACACTTGATTATATTTGTTTTCCTCAAAAGCCTCCAGATGTATTCTTCCCGAACACTGTCTATGTGCTAAGAGGGTCATCCATTAAATCCACATACATCTGTCTTCATTTTCACTCTCCCAAGTTAGACCCAAGTGAGCTTCAATGCAGTGTTAAGTGCAAATTTCTCAATAAAACTGATGGCCACCCATGGAATGCCTGCTCAGTCCTCTGGGCTTCCCCTACATTTTGCTAACACATTCAAGTGCTCTTAAGGCTGGCTACCTACCAGGAGGTAAACGAAATACATCCTTAGGGCACCAATAAAGCTGGGGCAATAAAGTAAAATAAATGAGAGAAAATTTTAGAAAAATATTTAGCCTCCCTGCTCAAATAAACGTAATCCTTGAGGGAAATAATCATAATGATATTGGACTTCATGCTTATTTACATATGAATGGGTGTGGACACGTAGCACATCGTGTATATTTCAGTGCATTTAAGACATCTAAAGATGTCTGGTACTGGTTATTTTTTAAGGGCAGCTGTTTCTAGGTCCTTCGCCTCTCCTGGAGTCAGAGACATAGCTCCACTCCACATTTTATCTCACCACAGTGTCTGGAGCAGAGCAGGTGCTCAATGGGTATTTTTTTTTTTTAAATAAATGAATGAACCAAAGTATGAATATAGAAATTGTGAGTTTCATACACATAATTTTAAAGTCTTTAGGTCTAGACATCTAGATGTCAAAAATACCATTTTTAAGAAATGTGCTTGCCTTAGGGGTCTGGATATAAGAGGAAGGGAAAAAAACTTCCTTTAAATTATGCAAGTGAGAAAACTTAATTATTTCTTTGACAGGGAATACTGAGAGCTGCCTTGGTATTACTGCTGATAATAACAATGCTACAAATCAGAAAAGGCAGCAAGTGGCCAGATCCTAACAATTTCAAAAAAACTGGGTTTTTCCCCCTAACAAAACAGAGACATTTAGAGTTAATTCTGACAATAATGATAAAGCTCAAAACTACTGAAAGCAGAATTGTGCCTCCCTACTAACAAAACCAATTCCAACAGCAAATCCTGAAGCCAATCATAAAATAAGAAACTTTCTAGAAGCTTTCTATTTCAATTTAAAATATTATTTTTGAACCCACGAGTCTTAACAGTAATACAATGATTTCTTCTTTAACCATCAAGAATATTTTTTCCTAATACAAATGTGTCTTCTAGTAGCACATTTTAAAGAAACAGTCATGATATACCTAGGCTCTTAAGAGTCACCACAGCCAAATTTAATTTAAAAGACAATTGCATATTGCAGACTTACGGTTTTTTAAAAAAAATCGGCGAGACACATGATGAATACCTAGCATTCAATTCTGCCCTGGGTTTTGTTAATTACATGGTAAAATTTTACTGGCTTTACAGCTTATTATTTTTTTAATTTTTTTTTCTTTTGAAAGAAGATGGTAAAGAGAAAAGGTTACACAATTGAAACGTATTACTTTGTATTACAATACTCACCACACTCTGGTTAACTACAGAGGACAGCAGCCAGGTCCACTGGACAAGCCTCAGGAACACGACTGCTCTGTTGGCTGCAGCCTTGGGGATGGTGTCGGAGAGGGTGGGGTTAGGGGTGGGGAAAATTAAGAGGTGGGACTAAGACTAAACTCGTGAGGGAATTGTCTCTATTGTCTGGGGGCCAATGTTCCTCTATTTGAGAAAGCACACACTGCATTTAATTTCATTATATTTTTCTGTGACATTTGCCTGACGCCACAGCGAGACTTATTTATGATTAGGCAACAACATGTTTTATGAAGATCCAAGCCTTGTTTGCTTATTTAGGGATTCTCTAACTTATTGACTCCTCAAGGCATTTAAGGGACATGAAATGCATTTAAAACTAAGCATTGGGCAGCTGGTCTGAGGTCTCAGAAATGCTGAAGAGATATGTAACCTTCCTCTTGGCCGGGTTGTTGGGACTTACATTCCAAGCTAAGGAGCTAGAGGAGAAGATCTCTTGAAGGAAGGGGGCAGAGCGGGGATGTGGCCAGTGGCATGTTGATGTCCCCTGTCTGGTGCCAGTGTGGAGCCTGGATTCTCAAAGGCGAGGCCGACGTCCATCTCACAACTTCGTAGCGAGTGAAGGATGCAGAGGGCCTGAGCAGAGAGGAGAGCAAGAGGAGGGACTTAACCAAAACCCGTAACTCTTTGGAATTGGGTGGGGGAGTGCAAGAGGGAATGACTCACTTAAGGAATCATTAGAGACGCACATAGATACTGTACATAAAACCTCAATTGCTTCCAGGTTGCTGACTAAAAATGTGTTAGCTTAGCCAAGGTTAAAATGTCCTTAATTCCTATCGGTGTGACCCTAATGAGTTGTACTTTCTGTCGTGGTGTTTGAACACAAAGCTTGAATGACTCACATCACTTAAATTGTTTTCTGTTCTCCTAGGTTAGAGGTATGTACAGAGGGAGTTGTTCCTGGAGACACAAGGTAAGTGGGAAAGGGTTCATGGCTGCTCACTTATCTCTGAGGGACATTTGCCTAGACTATTAACAGTTCATGTGTACCATTGGGTAGAAAACCCACTACCCGTATAAAAAATGCTATCTTATTTCAGAACCCTACTGTGTGAGCAATTGCCACTGTATACATAGGCCACCTGACAAAAAAGATAGCTGATGTCGTCCCTGTCCTGGAAGGGCTCACAACCTGGGAAGTAAGACACATTGTACAGACTGTATAGAAAGTATCTTTAGCATTTTACAAAACAAGAGACCATCAAGTTCTAAGCCACTCACTGTGTGGCTCTTGGGCAAATCTCTTTAAAAAAAAACAAAACAAAACAAAAAAAAACAAAACAAAGGCTGTGATTTATTGAGGACTTGCTATGTGCCAAGCACAAAATTGGTTCATTTTGAGGAATGTATCAGTTATATATCTTCACCATTTGATTCACATAGCAACCCTAGCTGTTTTTATCCTCTTAATAAAGACAAAGAAGTGCTTTGTCCAAGGACTCTGGAGCAGATAACCTGGGACAGTGAAACTTGAGCTCAGGCCCACGTTTTGCCACTATCTTCAACTATATGGTGGTAAAAATATCAAGTGTGTTAACTGTGGTGAGCATTAAATGAGATAATGGCAGGGGGGATGTGGCTACGGGAAAGGTGTGCACTAGAGAGCTGTGTTTCACTCTCCGTGACCATCCCGCCCTTCCTCTGGACTGTACTGTAGTCCCCTAAGTACCCTCTCCTCCACCTGCCTTGACATTGCACCTGCCTCGATCCTCAGCTGGATGCTGAGCCCTCTGCAGAACGTAGGGCTTTGTCATCAGCATGACTTTACAGTTGCGACCACGCCCGACAAAGGCATGTAATTCAGGATCTCGCGGGATAACATTAAAATGTTTTTAGAGTTATGGTCTAAGCTAGCCGCACATGAACAGGAAAAAGAATCCATCTATCAAATGGAGAAGGAAGGATCCAGGTCTGGGGTATTTTGCCCATTTACACCAATCAAGCAATTTAAAAAAGGCTCACCAGGTCATCTGTGATTGGGGTGAAATCAGTCTCCCAAGACCTATGCTGTAGTCTCTAAGGCTTTTCACCGTTCATTCAACAAGTCCATATTGAGAATTTGTTATATACATTATGTCTGTGTGAGACACTAGGGACCCAGCAACAGCCAGCGACAGCCAGGTGCCCTGCTGTTGAGATGCTTATTTGGTTTCATTCTAATAAGGGAGAAAGACAAAAGAAAAACACACACAAACACAAATAAAACCCAAGTAAACATACAAATGGACAAAAGAGCTGCACATCGTTCTAAGGGTCTTAAAGAAAACTGTCAAGGGGCTGAGATTCTGAATAAGGGAGGGTATTTAGAAAGGGGGGCTTACCTTGGACAGGGGGGCAAAACGGGCCTCCCTGAAGCGGAGCCAAAGGAAGAGACGGAACTGGCCGTGTGGGGCATGGGAGGAGCGTCCCGGTACAGACAAAAGTCCCAGTCTAAGCTCAGCAGATTTTAAGGAACTGAGAGGGGCTACTGCCAGGACAAGCAATAAACATTCTAATGGACTATGTGAAGAGCCAGGGATGGGGGCAGACTTAGTTTTATAGGACTATTCAGGAAAGACTCCATGGAATGTGGTATTTTAAAGACAGACTGGCACACTGAATCATTGGTGTGCATGCGCGCGCGCGCCTGTGTGTGTGTGTGAACTCATGCTGAAAAAAATCACCAGGCCATTTGTTTGTCTTTTTCATGATTGATGAAAGGAAGCGGCACAGTCACAACCTAGCTTCTGTTGCTCCCCTCTTTGCAAACAGGCCTAGCAAGCTTTGGGGTTGAGAATGGGTAGAGTTAATGGTTGATGACCAATTCCCTGAGAAAAATAGTCAGGACAGGTGTGTGTACTCCTGACATGAGCAAACTGCTTTAGGGTCATTGCCATTTTCAAAAAGGGCTAAGTAGCCACTGGCCCATACAACATGGGGTACTGCTTGGAGTGAGTTCTACAGGTGTGGCTCCTGTGGTTAATTGCAAGAAATCAAGACAGGAAAGCAGAGTGGTGCGAAGCGTGGCCTCTGGAGTTAAAATGGCTTAAAGTGGGGCCTGGCACTGGCTGGTCACTGTGGCCTGTTGCTGGCTGTTGCTGGGTCCCCAGGGCTCTTCCACGTCAAGAACATGGCAAAAAGTGAACATGGCCTCACGGCCTATCAATATACAATGGGTGCTGGCAAATATCGATGATCTTTTCTTAACCCTGAGTTAGAGAAGCGGAAACAAGGAATCATAGTGAGAAGAAATTGAGGAAGTAAAATGTGCAGACTTGCCACATCGGAGGTGGAAAGTGAAGGAGAGGGAAGAACCAATGGATTCCCAACATTCTAGCCTGGTACACTGCTTAATAACTGAACCATTTAAGGCTTTCTGAATCAAATCACAGAATAGTTTTTTAAGTTCGTTCGTTCTTTCTTTCTTTCTTTCTTTCTTTCTTTCTTCCTTTCTTCCTTTCTTCCTTTCTTCCTTTCTTCCTTCCTTTCTTTCTTTCTTTCTTTCTTTCTTTCTTTCTTTCTTTCTTTCTTTCTTTTCTTTCTTTCTTTCTTTCTTAAGAGTCAGAGACAGTGCGAAAGGGGAAGGGGCAGAGAGAGAATTCCAAGAAGGCTCCTTGCTGCCTCATGCAGAGCTTCATGTGGGACTCGAACTCATGAAATGGTGAGATCATGAACTAATCCGAAACCAAGAGTCAGACACATAACTGACTGTGCCACCCAGGTGCCCCTCAAGTCATAGAATATTAAACAAAAGGGGATTTATTGCCTCATGTCCGAAAAATCCTGGGTACATCCAGCTTTAGGACCAACTTGTTCCAAGGCTCAACCCTCTGATCAGGGCTTGAGTCTGTCCTCCCCTTGGCTCTTTTCTTCTTCATGCTGACTTCACTCCTACTCATACTTCACATCCCCTGTGGTGCCACAGGGGCTGCCCACAGCTCCAGGCTTGTTCTCTCAGATCCTGGGGCAAGAGAAAATAAGAGTTAACACCCACATTTGCATGCTACATCATAGGCACTGTTCTATTTTTTTTAAAGTAGGCTCCATGCCCAGAGCGAGGCTTGAACTCATGACCCTGAGATCAAGAGCAAGAGTTGCATACTCTACAGACCGAGCCAGCCAGACACTCCTGTTCTAATTTTTTTTTAAACAGATCATGATACTTATAATTTTCACAAGAACAAGGTAGTTAGAAAAACTGAGACAGATTAAGTAACTAGCCCAAAGTTACAAATAAGAGACAGAGCTAGGATTTGAGCCCATAGGTCTGGTTTCAAAGTCTGTTCTCTAAAGGGCTTCTTCTGGAAAACAGCCACCTTCTTTTGGGACCTATTTGTACTATGTTAGTTGTGTTTGGGTCCTTAAGGCTAGGGACAGTGATGTCTACTAGGCCAGAGGCTGTTGCATGCCCATCCTGGGGATGGGCACAAGGAAATGCCATGCAGGGCTCCTGGGCTGGGCAAGGGGAGGGACGGCAGAAGGGCATCTCGGTACTCTTTTCAGAACAGATGGCAAAACAAGAGCTTTCCATCCCAACTGAGATGAGAAAGAAAGAAAAGGAAAGGGGTTTAGGGTGAAAATGATGAGCTCAGTGTTAGCTAAAGTTTGAAGTGCTAGAAAAACATTCATGCAAAGATAGGGTTCTTTGGACATATTGCTTCATACTTGAAATAAGATGATAATAAAAGGGTAAAAGTAAAATGACAGGCAAAGAGACACCGGACAAACGAAGACAAATGAAAAGCAGGAGTGGTAATGTTAATGTTAGACGAGGCAGATCTTAAGGCTAAAAGCACTTAGAGTGTAAGGAACATCTGTATGTAGTGATAAAAGGCACAGATAATTAAGAAGATGTAACAGTCAAGGTAGGCATCAAAGAACATAGCGGCCAAATACATAAAGGCAGGAAGGAGAACTTTATACAATTATAATGAGAGATTTCAAAATGCCTTCCCCACAATCAGCCAGAATTAATAGTCAAAGAAATAATCATTCAGCTCATCAAAGAATACGATGTTATACTAGCCAAAACGTTATGCAGATGAACTGAATAATATAATCAAATAACTGGAGATGGGACATCTAAGGACTTCTTACATCCCACAAATAAAGAAAAGTTTTTCATAAAATTGAAAAATGATAGATACGTGATGAAGATGATCTAAAAACCCTTAAATTGTTAGAAATGAAGGCACAAACTCCTAGGTAAGTCTTGGATCAAAGAGGAAATAAAAGGGAGTTCATTCATTCTCTAGAAACCAATGAAAAGCAAACCATTCTCTATTGAGAACTGTGGGACTCTGAAAGTAATACTAAGAGGAACATTTTGAGCTCAAAATGCCTTAGCAATTTAAAAGTGAAACCAAAAAAATAACGGACTAAATATCCATCTTTTTTTTTAATGTTTTAATTTTATTTTTGTGAGAGCGTCAGCAGGTGAGAGGCAGAGAGCAGGGAGGGGAACAGCCGGGGATCCGAAGTAGGCTCCAGGCTCCTGCTTCCCAATGTGGGGCTTGAACTCACCAACTGTGAGATCAGGACCTGAGCCCAAGTCGGGCGCTCAGCCTACTGAGCCACTCAGGCGCCTCTAAATACTCATCTTTAAATTTTAGAAAAATAAGTCAGGAAATTGGGATTAATAAAGGTAAAAGCTGAAGTGAACGATATACCTAGAAAAGATAGGAGGATAAAAACAGTAAGAAGGATAACTAACCTACTGAAAATAACTCCAAAATTTTATTGAATTGATGCCTCCTTCAGATCTTTGCCTCAGTGGCCTTCCCTGTCTCCCCATGGCCTGGGGCCCATGTTGGAGCTGTGACTGCAAGTCTACACTTGCTGGGATGACTCGATGCGTGCCTGCTTCTCCACCATTGGGGCACCCTGTTGAAAACCACAACTCGGGGTGCCTGGGTGGCTCAGTCAGTTAAACGTCCGAGTTTTGCTCAGGTCATGATCTCATGGTTCGTGGGTCGGAGACCTACGTCAGGCTCTGTGTTGACAGCTAGCTCAGAGCCTGGAGCCTGCTTCAGATGCTGTGTCTCCCTCTCTCTCTGACCCTCCCCTGCTCACGCTGTCTCTCTCTCTCTCTCTCAAAAATAAATAAAAACATTTAAAAAAGAAAACCACATCTTCCTCTGTGGGATCTACAGGGCCCCTCTGACAGATTGCCTCATCGGGGCAGAACATTCTTTTTTTTTTTTTTTTAATTTTTTTTACAAATAGTTTATTGTCAAGTTGGTTTCCATATAACACCTAGTGCTCATCCCCCCAAGTGCCCTCCTCCATGCCCATCTCCCCCCTCCCCCCCACATCCATCAGTCCTCCGTTTGTTTCTCAGCATTCAAGAGTCTCTCATGGTTTGCCTCTCTCCCTTTCCCCCACCATTTCCCCCCTCTTCTCCCCCATGGTCCTC